TCTCTCTCTCTCTCTCTCTCTCTCTCTCTCTCTCTCTCTCTCTCTCTCTCTCTCTCTCTCTCTCTCTCTCTCTCTCTCTCCCTACCTACCTACCTGTGTGTGTGTGTCTGTGTAGCAGATCACGCGAAATGATGACAGAGTATTCCCCTTCCTCTGTGCACATGCGTCGACATGCAGCTAACCAAACAAATTAAACTATAGCTCCTCTTGTTCGTTTCTCGAAGTCGATAAACGGATGCTGAGAAAAAGATACTGTCATCGTTTTCGCGTACCACAGGGCATATTTCTTATATCAGGAAATAGAAAACGAAACGAACTCCCCACTCGCTTCTTAGCCCAAGAAACGAGGCACGGAATCGACCACTCCATCATGTACATCGTCTGATTGCGCATTCGCAAGAGTTCAGTTGATCAAAGTTCGTCTATGAAAAATGGGTGTCAGATGTACAATAAGAACCCCCCCTTCCCCAAGGCCTGAGACAGATCATTTCATATACCGAATCATCCTTGACCTCAGCGCAAAGAATTCCAGGCCTCATACGCTGTACAGCCGAAGCTGTCAGTCCTTACCCAGGAAAGTTTAGCTAAAATTGTTTTTGACTGTCAGATCAACGCCAAAATCGTCGCAAACGGACACGTTCACCGAGACAGTGATCGAAAGAACCACAAGAAAGAAAGACTTAAGGGGTTGAAAGAACCAAAGAGGCAGACACATCCCCTTGAACTAAACAACCGTTCCATCACCTTCAACTAAACAACTGTTCGTGGACAGAGTTAACACAAGAAAGACTTAAGGAAGCCAGTTAGATAGCAGAGAAAGGCTGCAAGACAGAGAGGCATAGCGCGAGAGAGCGGGAAGAGAGATGAGAAGACGAGAGAAAGAGACGGAGACAAAGAGAAGAAGCACACCCGCAGATAGACAGTGGGGAAGGGCGTACAGAAGTGCTGATAGACAGTGGGGAAGAGCGAGAAAGAAATAGAGTGGAGACACATAATAGACACAGGTCCTTGGGTAAGGAGGTTAAGGGTAGCCTTGACCACGCTGGTGTGATAAAAGGTGCACAGATCTAGCGAGAAAGAAAGAGAAAGAAAGAGAAAGAAAGAGAAAGAAAGAGAAAGAAAGAGAAAGACAAAGAAGAAGAGAAAGGGAAAGAAAGAAATGCGGAGAGCGAGAGAGAGAATGGGAGTGGGTGAGAGAGAGAGAGAGAGGGCGAGAGAAAGAGAGAGAGAGGTGTGCACTTGCAAGAAGACAGAATAATAGATATAGGCAAAGCAGAAACCAGCGAAAGAACCAGAGAGAGAGAGAAAGACAGAAAAAGAGAAAGAGAAAGAAGGAAATAGGGAGAGCGAGAGAGAGAATGGGAGTGGGTGAGAGAGAGAGGGAGAGAGAGAGAGGAAAAGAGAGAGAGAGAGAGAGAGAGAGAAAGAGAATGTGAGAGAGAGAGAAAAAGAATGAGAGAGAGAGAGAGAGCTGTGCACTTGCAAGCAGACAGAATAATAGATATAGACAAAGCAGAAACCAGCGAGAGAGAGAGAGAGAGAGAGCTGTGCACTTGCAAGTAGGGAGAATAATAGATATAGACAAAGCAGAAACCAGCGAGAGACAGAGTGGGGAAGAGAAAGAAAAAGAAGGAAAGCAAGAAATAAGGATAGAGAAAGACATGCGTTCGCTCGAATGAATAAAAATTAATGCATTTCCAACTGGAAGCCTGAGGAGTCGCTTCAATCTGTAACGGCTACCTACAACGCGCTACACTCAACATACTAGAAGTTGCATGGCTAGCGCCAATTTCTCCAGTCCGGGAATGAAATGGTTTACCCCCCCTTATCAATAGCATGACTAAGATATCTTCTCCCCCTTTCATATTCTTGCACTAATATAATAAGTACCCCCCACCGCGAAGACACCCGGCAACCCCTCTCATCTGCATGCGCACTTGGAGACCCCCCACCCTGAGGGATATCAGCAAAACACGCCCCACAGGAGAGAATGGATTGATCGATGATCGATGATGATCCGCACTATTCCGATCTGCTGTCCATGGCGATCAATCAAAGCGTTGCATGCATATCATCCCCCAACTCAGTCGAGGAAACCTCCCAAGTCACAGGGTCTTTGCCTCTTTGGCTCTAAACAGAGCGTCTTCACATTTGGTAATTAAACCCCTAAAGGCAGAGCATGCCCTACCACCACAACCAGCACTTCTCCCCAAACATTTCGCCCCTCCTGCTGTCGCAAACACACGAATACAAGAACACTTTCTTGGGTGGGCTCCATAACCCAGCAACCAGCAAGAAGCTGGCTGGCAGCCAGCCCACCTCAGCAGGGTGGAGGCAACATACGACGCACAGAATTCGGCCAGGTTCAAAGAACCAAAGGACAGGACCTGGCAGCGAGTCACCTCCCAGGTCACACAAGAGCTATCCGTCAGTCTATTGCCAGGGCCGACGATTCTAGGTGCACGAGTTTGCGCACGCAACAGCTCTAAACGATGTCAGGGCCTTCGCCGACATCCTGAAGAGAGCATGTACCCTACGCCGATGCTTCCACCACTTATTGCCCTTCTTCCAACCCCCCCCCCCCCCCCCCTCTCCCCCCCCCCCCCCCCCCCCCCCCCCCCCTCNCTCTCTCTCTCTCTCTCTCTCTCTCTCTCTCTCTCTCTCTCTCTCTCTCGGAGTCCGCGAAGGATGAAGCCTCAAGAACGATGAAGGTCGCTCTACCGATCTACGCGACCGCCATCTGCCAAGATGTGGGTGAAGCGCGTGCTCAAAATAGAGCCTTGCTCGTAGTCAAGGGCAGCCTGTACCACTCAAGAATACATAAATTAGGCAAAGGGAAGATGCCAGAGATCACGCACGATCCCTCTCCTCCCTGTTCACCTCAACATGCGCGCGCTGACTGTGGAAGGTCTTCTGGCCTTCGTCCTGTCAGCGTGCTTCTGCTTCTTGCTGGTCGCCGACGACGCCACGCGCTTCCCGTTCTGTGATCGCTGGACAAGATTGGGCAGCTGCGCATGGGATGTAGGGAATGACGACGCCACACCCCCGGCAGCTGAACATCTTCGCAGACAATCGATTAAGATACTGCATTCATCTCCTGAGACCTTGTAAGATGCGGCAGCGGACTTGGCAGCAGGAGAGTCTGTGTGCTTCGTCTTGAATGTTGTCGTATTGAATGTTGCCTTCTTATCATCATCATGGCTGCCGTCGTCCCGGTCATCGCGCAGATTGTCACGGCAGGCATCGCCTTCATTTGTTCTCTGCGCACATGAGCCCACCATACAATCTCATCAGCAATCATTCCTGTGATTACGTCTCATTGGGCCAATCAGACAGCAAATCAACCGATACTCTTTCAAGCCATTCAAACAATCATCATCCACATTTGTTTTCTTTCTTAGTTGTTTTATTACAATTTCTAACCAATCCTGAGAAAGAACCTCAGCATCTAATTGCTGCGCAACTTACTGGATCTGTTCTGACGCGGCCAGCAAAGACGATACCCTTTTTTTTTGTAAGTAACAACCCTTTCACCTTCCAAATCGCTGAATCACCCACTGGAAAGAAGATGGAGAAGACAGACTGGCAACCCACTTCAAGATCAAAGAAGGGCAACAAAACCGTTTCGCGCATGTGATGCTCATCAACAAGAGAGAGAGAGAGAGAGAAAGAGGGTCGACAAGAGTAGTATTAGGAGAAAAGAGACAGACGAGAACCTCTAGTTATTAATAAGTGAGCAATGCTACCCAAGCAGCCCTATGTCAGAGCATGAGAATGAGAATGAGAATGAGAATGAGAATGAGAATGAGAATGAGGATGAGGATGAGAATGAGAATGAGGATGAGAATGAGAATGAGAATGAGATGAGACGGAGGCATTTAAAAAAAAAAAAAAAAGAGACTGGATGCCTTTCCAGGGCTCGAACATATATCCGGCGTAGCATGAGACCAAAGCAAGGAACAGGCAATCTGAAAGCCTTGGCAATTTATAGAGCTGCTTGGCCGACTCAGAATCGTATTATGGCAATGAGGAAGGATAAGTATTTGGCCCTGGGCATAGAAGTGGATACCAAGGGATACACGCGCCAGGTAACGAAGGGAATGGTAGGGGGAAGGTTGGGGGGGGGAGGCACTTGAAGAGAAAGAGATGGATTGAAACTTACAGTGGGAAGGAAAAAAGAGGTGATGTCTTGAAGCGGCGATCGAGGATGGCCGGCAGGGAGAGGGCTGCGCGTTCGCGGCGACTCGGCCCATCCATCCGATGAAACGGTGCAAGGAGATGACGTCACCCCATTCAGTCTCTGCTCCACTTCCCTTGCCCAGAGTTCGCTGAACTTCAACGGGTCGATATTCTCCTTATTGTCCATGCTTAGACGCTTGAACCTGTTTAGAAGGACACGTGATCAATCAATCAATCACCAGACAGGTACACACCGATTTAGACGCTTTTTCCCACAACCAGCGCCCGCAGCAGCTTTTTCCTTATAGCCGCTATCCTTGTAGTTCTGCTTTATTTAATTCTTTCTTTCGAGAAGACGAAGAGCATTTCGCAAATGGAATCATCAGGAGGGAGGCACGAAAGAGAAGACATTGAGAGTGCTTCGCATGGCAGAGATCCAACAAATCTTCACAGAAAAGGAAAAATAGAGTGAAACGATGACACCCGGATAACAGGAATTCTCCCCCGAAAAGGGACTCATGGCACCTTCAGATGGGCTTCAACGATTAGAGCGAAAGAAAAGAAGGGCTGAGAGAGACAGAATGTGGAAGAACGAGTGAAAACAGAGTGAAAGCTGAGATATCTGAGTGTGTAGCACGGAAGGATAAGAAAGCGCGGCACCGAAGGAAAATGAGAGGTAAACAAGAGGAGAAGAGAATACATACAAAAGTACAAGAGCCAGGAAGAGAGACGTAGCCGAGAGAGAGAGAGAGAGAGACAGACAGACAGACAGACAGACAGAGCGAGAGACAGACAAGGAGAGATACAGAGAACGAGAGATACATGGAGAGAGATATAGAGAGGAGAGATACAGAGAGAGTAATACACAGAGAGAGATGGAAATGAGCGAGAAGTGAAATACACACAAGACTAGAGGACGAAGCAAAAGAACAGAGACAAAGAGAGAGAGAGAGAGAGAGAGAGAGACAGACATAGAGAGACATAGAGAGACAAAAAGAGAGACAGAGAGAGAAAGAAGATGAGAAGAGCTAGTCTACCTGTCGGACACCGAGGGGGTAGATTCGGTTCTTGATTTTGTTACGAAAGCTGGGAACGGCTCCCGATCTCCTGTAGGAGAAGGACACGTGGTAGGGGCGATATCACTGTCTTGATGACAAATGGACGACAGCGCAGTGCTGAGAAAGAAAGCCGCCGACTCGTCCATTACACTGGAGGTCACTATATCCAGAAACACCCCCGACGAGCGAATGGACGCCAGGGGAGAGTCAAATGCCAACCCAGATCCCAATGTATTAGGCGCAGCGTCCTCGATTGTTGTCTCCAGAACGTCACTCATTAAGGAATCTGGGATCGCCACAGATTTATCGAGCAAAGAGTCCGTTGACATGGGAGCCATTTCCTCCATAGCATCAACCCCCATTGTTCCCTGATGCTCGTCGCTGCGCAACAAGGCAGCACTAATAGGATGATGAAACTGATAGTTTGGCAGGCCTACCATGCCGAATGTGCACGCAGCATGCTCATCTGCCTCATCAAAGATACTGTGATGAGATGCGCACTCAGCATCCTCCTCACGGACGACGGCTGGAACCATGACTTCATCTTCATAGACGAAGAGCGGCTGGCTAGCAGCAACATTCCATGAAGGAGCCATCGCTATTTCTCTCACACCTGAAGACACACGAAATCCCCCGGCGCAAGCTAAAGACCACGAGTATGACTGCCTTGCCGATCAGTCGACTTGGAAATACCGCCACCTCTCTCTCTCTCTCTCTCTCTCTCTCTCTCTCTCTCTCTCTCTCTCTCTCTCTCTCTCTCTCTCTCTCTCTC